CCTACGCACCCTGCTTATAGACTGTTTGCCCTCCTTCCTGTATGATGAGGGACCCTACGCACCCTGCTTATGGACTGTTTGCCCTCCTTCCTGTATGATGAGGGACCCTACGCACCCTGCTTATGGACTGTTTGCCCTCCTTCCTGTATGATGAGGGACCCTACAAGGGTCCCCACAAGGCTGTGTGCTGAGCCCACTACTCTACACCCTGTACACCTCTGACTGCAGACCGGCACACAGCAGTAACATCCTTGTGAATTTTGCTGATGACACGACGGTAGTGGGGCTGATCTCAGGTGGAGATGAGTCTGCCTACAGGGATGAGGTCCAGGAACTGTCCAAGTGTTGCTCAGCAAACAACCTAGCGCTGAACACCACCTAGACAAAGGAGATCATTCTGGACTTCAGGAAAAACAGGGCAGATCCACCTCCCCTCTACATCAAGGGCGACTGTGTGGAGAGGGTCCACACCTTTACCTTCCTGGGCACCATGATCTCTGCCGACCTCTCCTGGACTGAAAACACCACAGTTGCCATCAAGAAGGCACAGCAGCGTCTGCATATCCTGAGAGTGCTTAGGACGAACGACATCAGTGAGAAGCTGCTGGTGACCTTCTACCGCTCCACCACTGAGAGCATCCTAACATACTGTATCACAGTATGGTTTTCCCACTGCACTAAGGCAGACCGGAGGAGACTGCAGAGAGTGGTCAAGACGGCGCAGAACATCATCGGCTGCCCCCTCCCCTCACTAAAGGACATTTACGCATCCCGCTGCCTCAGCAGAGCTGAGGGAATCATCAGACACAGCACTTACCCTGCTTATCACCTGTTTCACCTGCTGCCTTCTGGCAGGCGCTACATGACCATTAGGACCAGGACCAATAGGCTCAGAGACAGTTTTTTCCCACAAGCCATCACTGCACTGAACACACACATACAACCCACACCACCTGAACACAAGGACAATGTGCAATAATTTTCTCTGCAGCTTACTATATTGAACACACACATACAAACACACACTATCTCCAGCAAGAGGACAATGTGCAATAACTGCAGAATACTTCACCTGCCATTTGGGTAATGTGCAATAACTGCAATACCATCACCTGGATAATGTGCAATAACTGGAAGGGGTAATGTGCAATAACTGAATACTTAATACTATAATACTATACTATAGCATACTATATACTATAATACAATATTTAACACTGTGTGTTATTGCATTACTATTGTATCACTATTTACTACTTACTATGTCTGTTATACAACTGTCTATTGCAGAATGCTCTTTGTATTACAAACGTAATGTCTGTATATATCTGCACTTTAGAAGTAGCATCCATACAAGTAGCATCCGTGCTCCAGTATAATGACAATAAAGGCTTTCTATTCTATTCCATTCTATTCTATATCATGGCTGTGATTATCTTTGACACTCGGCCTGCAGCCTCGTGCCTTCGAGCATCACAGCTGTGATATATTGGTGTACAACTGCACTCCTTCTCATATGTTAATGCTTAAATATGTTATTATTCATTTGCTTATCACTTTATTATAATCACTTTTGCAGTTGATATTATCCTATAATAACTATCAATTTCAGCAATTATAATGTCATGTATTTTGTATATTTTCCAAACATGACATTTTCTTTTTAAATTTTGGTTGGAATCGTCTAATTTGTGTTTATCCCACAACCAAACAACCACTGAAATAACGAGAGCAAATGAGAGAGTAGCAGGATGGTTAATGCAGTGATTTTCAACCACTGTGCCGCGGCACACTAGTGCAAAAGGAGACCCATGCAAATTTCAGGAGAACAAATTTCACCAAAACAGAACTTGGGGCTGGAGTCAAACCCACAACCCTGGAATCATGAGGCTACAGAAAATATTTTCACCTCTGAATGTTTATAATCTATTAAACTGAAACACACCAAGGAAAGCAGTGAGCACTGTGAGGCCTGAAATGCAGTTAGCAATTATCTGTTTCAGGATCAGCACAAATGAAAGTTTATATTATGCAGATGCAGAAGGATAGAAAATCACTTGTATGATCATGAGTAGAAAGGAATCATTTCTTTGTATTATGTGCAAATCAATGCATATTGGGCTGCTCTGGTCCTCAGATCCCTCTGCGATTCCAGACACACTGAGGATTCATCTCTTCCGCATTCACAGACCCCTGTAAAGGGAAAACACACAGGTACAGTACACCATTATGTTACCTCTCCTGTAAACTGATTGCTTATTACATAATGTAGACACAAGCCTTAGGAATGATCTACCTCGCTGTATGACTCTTGACAAAACCATTACTAAATGAAGGTAATACAATATATATTGTATGTTACACTATGTTACACAAACTGCTCACGGTGGAATAATAATTACAATAGTGAAGATGTATTTACTTATACCTTCAATAACTATGTTGCAAACTCGTTACCTTGTCATTTTTGCTCTTTAGTCCTTTAGATGGAAGATTTGGCCATCAGGTTGAGTCCTCCAGGATAGTGTGGTGCCTTCTGACATGCCTGCGCTGATCAGCTTCTCCTGTAACTAGATAATAACACAACGGAATATTTCTTTGAGCATCTATTGGTGATTTGTGTCTCTCTGTGTAGCTCCACAACAGAACTGAACTGACCTGCATTAACAGAAGGCTGCTGAATGCAGGATCCTTTACTTTTCCATCAGTTCTGACAGTCAGTCTCACCACTGTTCTCTTTCCTGTGGGAACTGAGCAACAGAAGAAGTCAGCACACTTGGACACATCCAGTTTCATCCAAATTTGTAATCAAATTACAAATAGTCATTTTTAAATACATGCATTCATTTAAACATTAATCATTAGCAAAATTAATTATTTTCAAAAAGTTAAACCATGCAGATACACTTGCTCATTGATTTAGAGACATCTGGTGCCTTCATTTTTGCTTATCTTAACCGGAAGCATTAGTAAACGTTTTTTTCTATTCCTAATTTTGGTTATCTAAGCTTTATTGCTTAAAATGTGGAAAGATGAACATTCTCTGTATCCCTCATCATCACTCTCTTCTGCTATCAGCTTTTTTTTTTTAGGAAAAAAAAAATCATTTTGTAGTTCTTTAAATCACTTTATATAACACATATCACATGTATCATGATCTGTTACAACCCGATATGGGTTTAGACCACGCAGGCACTCAGAGCTTTCAGGATAGGGTTTGTACATCTGCGCACCAGCATAGAACAAGCATGTGTAGAAAAAGGATGAATGGATAAATTTTCACCTCCCAAATCGATTTTTAGAAAATTAGATTATTAAATAAGAGATCAGTGTTGACACACCGCACAACAACAAAACGTGTTCTCTGCATTCAACCTATATGCAATGTCATGACACAGCAGGGGGCAGCTAACTCAGCGCACAGAGGTAGTACCTTTCTCAGGGTACCTCAATGGTGCCATGTTGTTCAAGTATTCGAACCTGTCATCTTTCAATTACAAGAGCACTTCCCTAACCATTAAACCACCACTGCCCATATATGGAAAGATGTGCATTATTATTGTTTGGAAATTACTCTACATGCCACATCATAAACAAAATGCAGTCAGAATTATTAAATTTGGTGTTTGGAAAGAAGATTTTGTTATGAGAAGGGTACAGGGAGTGAAATGCACAAGCAAAACAAAGGGAAGACAAAACAAGTTTCTGATGCAACTCTAGTTTTGCATATACTTATTCAGCATGTTTGTGAATCAGCCTTACTTGGATATTTGGTGCAGATGAAGTTGAGCATCTTACTCTCAGGCAGGCTGACCCAGTAATGAGGGTTTTTAGATTGTACTGCCCCTGTGGTTCCACACAAGTTACTGTTGGATGTGTTGTTTGGGGCCCAGTTCTGGTAGCAGATATTTTCTGCACTGACCCAGAACCAGAAGTTCAGGTAGCAGGAGAAGCGCAGCCCCAGCCAGACATGATCAGTGGAGGCCTTCTCAGCCCTCCTACTGACCCAGTACTGGATCTCCTCATTGTGGACAGAGGCCAGGTCCAAATAGTTTGTTCTGCAGTAATTCAGGGCTTCATTCCAGGTCATGTTACTATTTACCAAGATCAGGTTATCTGGGAAGGAAAGATGATTGTCAGAAAGCAGGTTCAGGAGAAAATCATGGAAACTTGGAGAAAGGAATTTATTACCAGAAGGGTAGAAGGAGTGAAATTCACAAAACAGTGAAGACAAAATAACTTTCTGATGCAACTGCGCAGTGTTATGTGTACTAATAACACCAACTATAAGTGTAATTTATTTTTAAAATAGTATAAATTAAAGTTGCTAGATAAAGGTGAGAATTGGCCACTCCTCCCAGAAAAGTTACATTACTCACCATCATAGCATACAAATGGATGCTTTTCATCACATGGTGTCATATCCCATGTCCCAGGCCAGGTGACCTGTACTAAAGCACATGTGTTATTCTCATTATCATTTTGACCCATTTTCCAGTTACGGAATGAGGAGTTTGACAGGTCTGACCATTCCCATGTGTCCTGGAACAGGCCAATCCACACCCAAGTGCCACTTGTAACCATCTTATGTATCAAGTCATTATCTTCTTTATTCCTCACAGTGGCCAGGTCTGTGTAACTGTATCTGCAGTAGTTCTGAGCACCAGACCAATTCATATTTTTATCAATCCAGGTGAAGTTCCAGGTAGCATTTATTCCGTCTTTACAGGTGGGAGCTGTGGATTTGTTGTAAACAGCACAGTTAACAGTAAGAACCCCAGAAGTCATTTACACAGCAAATGTGCCAGTGTTAAATTAACACTGCATGGTGTCTATATGTGTCCACACCATTCAGTGTTACCTTTAACACTTTTCAGCGTGCAGTGACTGTTGTTTTACAGTGTTAATATTTATTAACTCTTATATTGAGGTACATATGATCTTCCTCGAGAGCCCAGAATTAGAAAAGAAACAAAATGATTTTCTATAGCATACGCCTCACAGCTAATGCCTTTTCTAGTTAAGCCATAGAGGCTAGATCATCCTACCTGGTCCCTGGCTAGCACGCAAGAGCCATTTCTGTGGTTTTTGTTCTCTTGCCTTATTCATCACAATCGCGGTGGATTAAAATAAAAATCTATGAAGTCAAAAACAGTACTGTGACATGCTATGCAAATATACATCCACCACCATTGGTCTACAGGGGAGTGGGTGGTACCAGGAGCTGCACAGAAAAGGGCATCACAACTGTCCTAACCCCTTTCCACATATGTTAATCATCCAAGGGCAGGACTGGCAGTCAAACAGACCCCAACACCATTAAATACCAATCTGGAGACACACCCTGTACATTTCTAAGAGTTATTCCTCTGGCTCAACAGCAACATGCTACAAAAGCACAGCACTCTAATCTTCAAGATCAGTCAGAACCAAGGCAGCAAAGCTTTAATACAAAACAAAAAAAAGCTGTAAGGTCAGGCCCTGTTATTCAGAGTCTTTCTCATGATGGTGGGTAAATCTGGGATGGCTCTTCTGATCCTCATGACGTCTTGTGCGCATATTAAAATGGGGCAGATATGTGGAGGTGGAGACTCTTTGACAACACTCTAGGTTGTAAATTGAACACTATAAGAGTTAATAAACATTAATACACTCACTGCACACTGAAAAGTGTTAAAGGTAACACTGAATGGTGTGGACACATATAGACATCATGCAGTGTTAATTTAACACTGGCACATTTGCGGTGCAGAGTTCGGAGTGGTGAGTACATTTTGCATTGCTTGGTCAGCAGTTACAGTACTGAAGTGGAGAGCGAAGATCAGACGACAACAGAGCCAAATGAAAGAAGGGATGAGGGGGAAGACAATCGCTACAGAACTAATCAGTGTTGTACTGTTAGTTACTTTTGCGCTATTACGCGTGAGTGATTTAAACCTGAGATGCCCCCCAAAATAGTTTTTCTATAATAGTTTTTGTATGTATTTGAACTTTTATTTTTGTGTAAAGTGCATGTATATGTATGGGGTAAGTCATGGCTGGATAGTATACTTTAAAAGGCATGTTCCATTTGTCAAAAAAGAGCTGGTTAATGTCACTCACCAGTATAACAGATGAAATACAGTCGTACTGAACAGGGAGCATCATTCCATACACCACTGTCTCCGAAATCAGTGCAGTGCTCATTATTTTTACTGTTGTCTGGTTGACCTTTATCCCAGTTGGTGTACCCAGTCTCTCCTTCTGCTGAGGACCAATGCCATCTCCATGATGTTCCTTTCTTCAGTCCTATCCAAGCCTCTCCAGTATAATCAGTGTCTACAGACTCAGTTAGTCTTTTCATCTCCTTCATATTGTCAATGGTAGCCAAGTCAGCGTAGTTCTCTCTGCAGTAAGCCTGGGCGTCAGTCCAGGTCAGGTTAATGTTTACAAAATGGTACTGATGCAAAAAGCATAAACAGTGACTGTGAAACTCTGTAAAAAAAAAAGTTACACAGGCAGAGAGAAACAAATACACATGATCACTTTTGCAAGGCTTTTGCAAGTCCATCTTTATCTGACAGGCTGATGGATATACATTATTATCAAAGACATACATACAGTAAATAATCAGATTTGTCTGAATCTGAATGTAAATTTAGTAGATGTGTCTCTGGCATGAATAACGAGTGTAACACAAAGGTCCTGTAAACATCAAAGAAAGACCCATACAATAATCTGCTTTTGGCAGATTTGGTCAATATGTAAATTTGTGGGGCTCTTTTTATAATTTAAGTGCAATATGAAAGAAACTGACCTGATATCAGTAGAAGTTTCAACAGAAGAAACACATTAAAACTCATCATGTTGATCCAACGGGCTGCAGAAAACATTGATTATGGTACTGATCATGTAACATACATTTGAGCACATATACACAGGTTTGTAATTATACCTTTGTGGGGACTCTCCGTTGATTTCTATGGGGAAAACTCTAATCACAACATGACCCAGCACTAACCAAACAAAATACGAGACTTTTTTGATTGCATTCACACACTATGCATAGCTATATTTGTATGGATTCCCTTTTATTTCCCATTGTACAATAATAAAAACCAACAGCTCTCAAAATCTTTTAATCTTTAAACCTGAAACCCTAACTTGTTCTTTTTCAAACACAGAGATGGGTTCATAAGAGTCTCAGTCAGGCACTCAGACACACAGACATACAGTCTCACATGCTGTGTGTACATCCTCAACTGACAGACTCATAGTCAGAAAGAATATTTCTCTAGTATTGCTTCCATTTATGCATGTAAAGTCCCAGTAAGTACAGTTTTCACAAAGCAACTTCTCTGTCTCCTTCCTGCCAGCTGCCACTTGTCGCTGTAATGCCTCCTGCCCTGTGATCTGAATGAACTGACCTTAGTCTCATTCTCTGTATTATAGGAAATATGGCACATGTACATTCTAGGGCAGGGGTTTCCAGTCATATTTACAGTAATGTGAACTTCAACGAAGGGAATAATGGCTGGTGACGATGAAACTTGCCGACCATATTAATTCTCCTTTCACGTCCACTCTGCTGCAGCCACGACAGCAGAGTGATCCAGGTAGTGCCCCTATGTTCACATATAATGAGATCTCAAGATAACAGCATTAAAAACCACTTGCAAGCACGGCCGTTCTCAGCTTCCATATACAGCTCTGGAAAAAATTAAGAGACCACAGCACAATTTTTTGTTTCACATATTTCTCAATATATGGGTGTGTGTCTGTGAATAATATATATTGTAGCGCTGGGGTACTGGAGGGCAGAACGGCAGGTTGGACTGATGCCAGCTTTGGAAATAGTTCCCGCTACCTATTGTGTTGTATTGTAATTGTGCTGCGTTGTTGTGTCAAGTGCAGTGTTAAGTGCTCCTCATTGTACACAGTGCGTTGGGGAGTGTGTGTGTGTGTGTGTGTGTGTGTGTATGTGCCCACCATGTGTGAAAGGTGTAAATGATCTGTTTCCAACATTTCTTTTCTTTTTTTCCCAAATCAGTTCACTTTGCAAACGTTTACTAGCAAAAGTGTCTGCATTGGTCGAGAGTAAATCTATGGGAAAAGCTCCCAAACCCATTTTCTTTGCTACAGAGCGTGTGGACATCTTATACATTGCATTTATTATAAATGCAATTGACCCGAGATGATGTGAGTGTTAAAATGCATTTTTTGCATGTGTATTATACATATTGTCTGACAATATGGTTGTTACACCTACTCTATGTATCTAGACCAGCAAAGTAATTTTTCCCAATGAAGTAAGCTTACCAACCTACCCACTAGCCATGTTATTTCATTAGAGTCCATTCATTCAACCCTTTTCTATACCGCTCGATCCTGCATTGTGATTCAGGATTCCAGAGCCTATCCCAGAAATAATGGGAGCATGGCAAGAAATAACCTAAGATGAGGAACCAACACATGGAAGGGGACACACACACACACACACACACACACCATTCACACATACATTCACACCTATGGTCAGTTTTGAGAACCTGCAAGCTCCACACACATACAGCTTGGATGGGCAGCCCCTGCACCAATTTAAATCACTTTAGAAATACAGTGCAGCCAAAAATTATTTGTACACTGTGAAAAAATGGTCAAAAATGGAAAAAAAATTAGGATATTGATTGTGAAATTTTATGATTCTTTTCCTCAATGCATTGGGTATTTCATCACTTCGGAAACTCAACTAACCCTACAAATGCTTGTGTGGAGAATGACCACCAAGACGGGAAACTAAGGGCGTCCAATTACCTGCCTATTGGAACATCTGCTGTTATGTGTTGTGCTAAAGGATCTCTACTATGACTGGGAATTCCCCCCATTGTCACGTATTCATTCAGCTCTATGATTGGCCAGGTGTACAAATAATTGTTTGAAGGCAGTAAATTACATAATTTGAAAACAATTCCAGAATATGTTTCAAATAAAAGTTTTTCTTGTCTTTTTACATATCATACATAGTTGTAACATTTTAGACAGTTTTTGAAGTTTGTTCTTCAATATCCTCAATTTCATTTCCATTTTGACCATTTTTTCACAATATGCAAATCATATTTGGCTACATAAATCATATTCAATAAATGTAAAACGCACATAAATATAATGTAGTGTTCTTTGGAGTGAATAACTTTTTGAGTAACAAAGGGTTTTTTGCAAACTTGCCGTAAAAAATTCCATATATGCTGATAAAAATGTTTTAACAGTAACTTATTCTGTATTATTCTTGAAATATAACACTAAGTGTATATGTATAAAGGTGTAAAATAAATGATAATCTAAGATCTTCATATTCCAAAGAACAATGTTAGTAAAATCACAATGTATATTTAACGAAAGCTTAAAGGATGATGGTTATAAATGCCAGTAAATGGCATTACCTGGTTTCTGTGAGTCTGAAGGGTTTCTGTTTTTCTGTCCCTGTTAAAATGATTCTCTGTGTCTCTGACAGTGACAGTATCTACTTTAATGAACAGAATGTTCTGGAATCCCTCTGGGCATACACATGTATGTAAAACAGAATACACATGTTGCATATTTGTTATGCTCGCTTTGTTCTCCTTTCTGGTTCTTTCAGGAGGTGGAAAAATATTTGCATGCTTGACTACCTGAAAGTGAAGGGGTGTCTGAAAGGACTATAGGTTAAGGAAGAATTAAAAACACTTTTTGTTCAATGTATTATGACAAGGAAAGCTAATTTTACACTGTTGTTCTGTCTTATTTTATACTGTCAAGAAATGAAAATAAAGAAACACAAAAGTATCTTGTTTCCTCTCTATTCCTGTGCTGAATGTATTCATTTATAATAAATTATAAAAAATCAAACAGATTTTCTAAGATCTAGCTCATATTATTCATAAAATGCAAGGACTTTGTTGCAGAAAAACAGGTGTTCAGACTGAGATGTTTTATTAATGTTTCAGGCACCAGTGAGGTTCTTGTTCTCAGCAGAGCTTTTGATTTACAGAAGGTTTATTTAAAGGCTGCAGGTTATCCATCCATTTTCCACACCCACCTGCCCTATGCAGAGCTACTAGGGTCCAGTGTCTATCCCAGAAGCTAAAGACACAAGGCAGGGAATAACCCAGGATGGGAGGCCAACCCATTGCAAGGCACATAGACACACAGGCAATTTTGCAACTGCAATTCACCTTCTTTTAGACTGAGGAGAGATATTGGAGATCCTGAAGGAAATTCCAACATGATACAGGGAAAACATGCAACCTCCCCACACATAGAGCTGGGGTGGAGACTTAAACCCTTGTCCCAGAAGCTGCTCCCAGAAGGAGCCGTCAAACTACTAACCACTGTACCACCACGCTGTGATTCATTTCACATTTAAGAAATTTTAGTATAGTGATTGTGATAATATATCAGTTAAGCAAAGGAAATGTAATTGGTGTTAAGCAGAGCTGGACTGGGATTAAAAATACAGCCTGGAGTTCTGCCCATACAGACCCACCACCCATACATCCCCACAGTGAGAAGGGGGTGTCACCCACCTTACATTTTTGTTGTCCCACAAACCCATTATGTCCAACTGCAGAGCTAAAAGAGCTCCACGGCTTGCAGAGGGACCAATCAAATTTCATAGTATTGCATGTCTTTCTCCAATGATAAGCCAAGTAAGTTTCAACTTGCAACTCATTGCATTCACTAAATAACGGCACTGGCAGAAAATTCATTCTAAAAAGTAAGGTTGCCAGAAGTATTTCTTTAACATATAGTTTTTGTTCCAACAGAAATGCAATTTAAAGATATTTTTTTAAACTTATTAATGTTACGATCAAAAGTACAGATCCATACCTAGGAAGCAACGAAAAATACAAGACTGAAATCAAGTCTCTGTTTTTACAGATCCTAACCCTAACCCTAAACTAACCTTACAATAACTTTACATTGTATTTGCATTAAGTTAACATTTTTTTGGTATAATACCATAACATTAAAAATAAACTTTTAAACTAAATTTTTCCTGCTGTTTTTCAATAATTTGTTGAACAGATCCAAAATTTCCATTTTCCAAAACATGTGACATAACCACACAATCTGATTGGTTTCTGCAGCAGAGCTGTGAATGGCAAAGCTGTGGATCTCTGAAGTTGGATTATAATTGTAGGATCACACATGCACATATCACAGGGCCTAAATTCCAGGTGGCCTGAGACAAGGCCGAGCCTGGTACG